ATACTTCACTCCAACTCTTCCTGACTTGATGGTTTGTGTTGAGAAGTCTGCTGTGATTCTGATATGTTTTCCTTCATCGGTGATCTGTTTCTTTTGTCTAACAGCTTTTAATATTCTGTTCTTTTGCAGACTGTCTGGGATCTTGATTATTATCTGTCTGGGTATAGATTTACTTTGGTTATGGCTAATTGGGGTTCTGTATGCCTCACTTAGTATATGTAAAGTTCTTCTCCCATGCTTGGGAAATTTTCTGCAAATAGTCTTTTTATGTCATTCATGTTACCTCCTGTTCTTTTGATCAGCATTATGTTGTTTTTCTTTTTTTTTTTTTTTTTTTAGTTTTAAAGAGTAAGAGAAGGATAACATAGTAATAGGAAGATTTACCGAATTACTGACAAAGTGGTAGGACATTATCAATGGTTGTTATTTTATGTTGTTTTTCTTTGCAGCTGTTGAATTGTTATTTCCTGTTCCTTTGTTATTTTTAAGAGGTGTTTTCTTTCACAGTCACTAGCTGCAATGCTGTCTTCATGGTATGAAAATCTGTCTTCCGTTTTGCTCAAGCGGTTCTTCCTGCTTTCAATGGAATTTTTAATTTCCTGAATGTGTCTTTGAATCTGTTTCATGCATTCTAATTCTTTCTATACTGTTCATTCAAGGTTTTCATCATTTTTCTGTGCCCCTCTATTTTTTTCTATGTCTTCTTTTGATATGCTGAGCAATTCTTTCATTATGGTTGTCATTTCCTTTTTTACTTGAGTGATTATTTCTGATCTGATTTCCTGTATAGCCTGATGTAGTTGGTTCTTTACTTCAGTTGCTATCATTTCAGAAATTTCAGGTGTTTGCCTTCCTTGTTCTTCCATGTTGATGTTTCCTTGACTTATTCTGGGTGGGGTGGAGGGCTGAGATTGCATTTTGCTTCTTCTTTTTGTCATTTTCAAATCTCCCTAGGTTTCTGGGGATTGAGGGTCATTCCTGTGATGGTGGTGGGGGGTGGAGTGCTGGGTTTTGGGTTCCCAGAAAGCCAACTGAGGCTTCCTGGAACCAAGGTCTTTCCCATGATGGCAGCAGGCTATAGAGTGAGGGGTTCTGGGTTTCCAGTCAGCTCACTGAGGCCCCCCGAGTCCAAGGCACCTTCCTGTGATAGTGGTGGGGGGCAGAGATAGGGGTCCTCAGTGCCCTGACAGTTCACTGAGGCTTCCCAGTCCAAAAAATCTTCCTCTGATCTAGTTGTTGCTTTTTGAGGACTCTCCACACTGATTTCCACAGTGGTTTCACCAGTCTACACTCCCACCAACAATGGAGAGGTGTTCCTTTTTCCCCACAGCTCTACCAGTATTTGTTATTGGTTTACTGTTTTGATAATAACCATTCTTTCTGGAGTGAGATGGAATCTCAGCATTGTTTTAATTTGCATCTCTCAAATGATCAGTGATGTTAATCATTTCTTTCATGTATTTATATGTCATTAGTACTTCTGAGAAATGTCTACTCATTTCAGATGTCCATTTTTGGACTGGGCCTTTAAATTTGGAGGGTCTAGTTTTTAAATTCTTTGTATATTCTAGATGTACAAAGAATTACTTCTTTGTCTGAAGAAAGATTTTTCCCAGTCTGTGGGTTGTCTTTTCTCTCTGTTGGTGATTTCTTCTGTTGTGCAAAAATTTTTTTTTAATAAGGTGAGATCCCAGTTGTTGATTCTTTGTAGTATTTCCTGTGCAGCTGAGGTTTTATTCATGAAGTCTTTGCCTACTCCTATGTCTTCAAGAGTTCTACCTATTCTCTCTTCCAGCAGATTTAGTGTTTCTGTTTTAACATTTAGATCTTCCAATCATTTTGATTTTAGTGTAGTGTATGGTTATATACGTGGGTCTAGCTTTAGATTTTAAGTAAAGATAGGAAAGGAAGAAGGTAAATTATCCTTGTTAGCAGATGACATGATACTCTGCATAGAAGACCCCAAAAACTCTGCCAAAAGACTTCTAGATTTAATAACCAGATTTAGTCCCATAGCTGAATAAAGAGTCAGCACTCAAAAATCAATAACATTCCTGTAAACAGATAACAAATTCACTGAGAGAAATTAGGGAAACCATACCTTTTGCAACAGCATTGAAAAAAAAATGAAGTACTTAGGAATCAGTCTAACAAAGGAAGTAAAAATGCCTACATTGAAACCTATAGTACTCTGAAAAAGGAGACCAAAAATATACCAGAAAATGGAAAGATATCCCTTGCTCATGGGTAGGAAGCACTAACAGTAAAAATGGCAATACTCTCAAAGTTGTTCTACAGATTCAATGCAATCCTGATTAAAATACTATTAACATCCCTCACAGAACTAGAAAAAGCATTCCCAAATTTCATTTGGAACCAGGAGAGACCTAGAATAGCAAAAGCAATTCTGGGCAACAAAGGCAAGGCAGGGGGCATCACAATCCCTGACCTGAAGTTATACTACAGAGTTACTGTGATAAAAACAGCATGGGATTGGCAAACAAACAGACCAGAGGACCAATGGAACAGATTAGAAGAGGCAGAAACAGCTTCAAACACACTCATCCATCTTATCTTTAACAAAGGGGTCAGACATGTTTACTGGAATGAAGATAGCCTCTTTAATAAATGGTGCTGGACAAACTGGGTTTCCACAGGCTGACCACAGCTCTTTCTATCCCTTTTATCTTATCCAAGCTATTTAGGGTAGCCTAGTGCCCTTGATCTAGCATTACATATGAATCAGTTCCAGCATCACACACTCTAGATCCAGGCACCTCTGAAAAAAACCCCATCTATGACTGCATGAGGCTTTGGGAGAACATCTAGCCACAAGCCATAACAGCTTATTATTGAGAGGAACAGAGAAGTCAGTCATCTTACTTAGGGTTTTTTCTTGGTCATGATATCTTTTTATCCCTCTCTTCATCATCAGAAATATTGTAACTCAACTCTGAGTTTAAAAATTCTGGCTAGCATAATCCTCTATGTAGTAATTTATTCTCTCATTTCACTACATTCTTAAAAAATAAAATGCTGAGGAACTCTTTGTGTTTTCTTTTGTTTTTGATAGTAATTTCCCTTTGTAAGCAAACTTTACTTATTTTTTATTGAATGTACTGAGATAACAGAGATGCAGACGGGTCAGGGAGGGGCTTTCTCAGTGATGGCTGTGCTTGTCACCAGTGAAATCAATACATGGAAAAGAACAAGATGAGCTGACAGAGAGACATGAACTTCTGCCAGTTGTGCTGGCGCATAGATGTGATAAGCTCTTTCCCGATGAAAAAGGTTCAACGTCATCTTATCTTCCTCTCAAACCTTTTTTTTTTTAAATTTTAAAAATAAAAGGAGGAAAACATTAACAGACAGACAATCTTTTACAAACTAGCAAAAGAACAGTACAGACAATATAGAGTTACAAACAAAGTGGTAGGAAATTAGCAATGCTTGTTGTATTACATATTGATATCTTCAGAGTGGTTTCTCATGAAAACAGATAGAGACATGCAATATTGATCAATCAAGGACTCACTGACAGTTTCAGCAAAGAAATAGAAGACAGTAGAGCAACTATGTTAACTATCCTGTATATACATGCATACAAAACTTCTCCTTCTTTCCCTTCTCTTTTCCCACATCCCAATTGCACTTTAACCTTGTGTGCTTTCCTATCATTTCACAATGTCTATCATACCTCCTAGTTCAATGCCCCAGGAAAGCATTCTCTGTTTATCTTGTGACTTTCTACTAGTATACCACCTTTTGGCCTTATATCTCTTCCTCTCAAAGCAAGGAAGCCCAGGAAACAAGTATGTGCCAGAGTCCAGCCCACAGGATGGGATTTCAGCTTTTCTGCCTCTTCTGTGTGACCTTGGGCAGGCTGAGTTTCTTCCCTGTGCCTTTATCAGTGTCCCAAATGTGGGTAACGAGCATTGCTGTGGGCAGCAGTAGCCATTGCAATGGAGCCTGTAAAGGGCCTGACTCTCTCCTACCTGGTGGTTTGCTTCCTGGCTGTTCTCCCTTCAGAGGGTGGTCACCCTGTGCCTGGATGGCAGGGTGCTTTCTAACTGTTGGTGGGTTAGTGCAATGGGAAGGAGGTGACATTATGCCAGTCTTAGTCTGTTTTCTCTTGCTGGAAATGAATCCCACAGACTGGGTAATTTATAAAGATTAAAGGTTTAATCAGGTCATGGTTCTAGAGGGTAGGATGTCCAAGGTTGAGGGGCAGCATCTAGTGAGGATCTTGCTACTCGGTCATGTCATGGAACCACATAGGGAGACAGAGCAGCCAGCCAAAGTGAGCTCACTTTTATAACACAAGCTACTCCCTCCAGGACCCATTGATGTATGGGTTAATCCGGGAGAGCAGAGCTTTCATGACACAGTCAAGTCATAAAGCTCCTGCCTGGCCCGTTTTCTCAATACCTTAATGGGGGCTAAATTCCAGCATGAGTTCTAGCGGGAACATGCAAACCATCTCTGGGCCCCTTCTTCCCTGGAAGTGGGTTGGAGGCTTTGGTTCTACTTTGGGGCGGCTGGCCTGTGCTCAGCTGTGACATGTGCATGGACAGTGCTGGCCGTCCTCTCTCGGACCCCCCTGTTCCTGAAGGTGCAGGTGGAAGGCCTATTGCTTCTGGCTTACAGTCATGGCAGGAGGTTTGCTGTGGAAGAAATCAAAAGTAACTGGTTTTCTGAGACTACTTTTTGCTCATTGCTTCTAATACTGTGGTAGGGGAAAAAGTGAACACCAACCTTGGTTGGTTTGGTCCCTAAACATACAGGTTCCCAAAGTCACACATCATCACTTCTGTTTGTTTCATTTATTAGAAGCGTGCCACTTGGTTCAGCCTTCAGGGGAAGGGGAATCACACTCTGCCTCTTAGGAGGAGGAGTTTGTGGACATATTTTTAAAACCACTGCACCCTCTGATGCTCTGTTATGATTTTAACCACTGAGTTTGCTCAGCAGGCCTCACCTCTACTCTCTTTGGACCCCAGTTCTCAACATCAGCACCTCGGTTCAGCTGGCAGCCTCTATGCCCTCAGGATTCCAGCCGGCGCAGACTCCAGACCCTGTAGCCCCTATCGCCTACTTCCCCTACTTTGACAAGACCTACCTGGGTGTGGCAGCATCACTCAATGGGGGCAATGTGCTGGCCACGTTTGTCCACATGCTGGTTCAGTGGATGGCGGATCTAGGTAAGATGCGGCCCACACAGTGGTGTGTTTTCTGGTTGTCCTGTCCCTTCTGCATGGTGGTGTCTTGGAGCTTCTTCTGCTATTTTTGTATTTAGGTTCTGGTCTCAGACCCGGCTAGATGCCAGCATATTCCTTCCTGCCTTTGGGATCTGAGCTTACACTGGTTCCTTTCCTGCCCACTCTCCTCTCTGTGGCAGGTGGCAGGTGGCAGGTGGCAGGTAGAAGGTCACCTTCCCTCTTGCCTGGACTGTGCATTATTCCTCAGGTTCTCCTGACTCTCACAGTCCTACTTTCTCTTCCAGAAAGTCCCTGTGACTCTTGCATTTAGAGTTTTCCTTCTGATGACTACCGATAGCTAAAACAGAGTGATTGACATGCATCAGTGAAAAAGTCTCCTGGTAGTTCATAATTTTTTTTTTTTTGTACCAGGAATCAAACACAGGACCTTGCGCTTGCCAGGCAGGTGCTTGTGCTGCTGAGCTATGTCCCCGGCCCTTCATAGTATTGTAAAACCCTCACAGCACTTATTCCTGGAAAGTAATTCTTGTCTTACTTTCTTGGAAGTCTCCCTGGAAACTTGGAAGTCTTCCTGCTGCCTTCTTTTATTTGTCTGGTCTTCCTCCACTCTGCACGTACTGCAGCACATGTAACCCCGTCTCCTATGAAAGATCTGCTTTGCAAGCCCTGAGGGTAGAAATGACATTCCAGGTCTAGGGAAACCATGGCTGTCACATGCAGTGGTCATCCGGAGGGGCTCAAAGTCAGGTAACTGGTGTAAATGCCCAGTACAGGAAAAAGGCAAGGCACAGACAGCAGAGAGTTAGGTGGGAAGCTGCAGCTAGTTGTGTGGACAAGTGCTGCTGGCTGATGTCAGTGCTTTCGGGCTGCCCAGGGTGTCTGGACCTTCAGGGGAGTTCTGCTCCCTGTGGGCCCCTCTGAGGGATTCTCTGTTGACAGAACCCAGAGAAAGTTTTCTTTTTTCTTGTTTTTATTTTTTATCTTTTTGAGACAGGGTCTCGCTGTGCAGTTTAGGCTGGCCTTGAGCTCACTTTGTAGCCCAGGCTGGTCTCGAACTTGGAAGGATCCTCCTGCCTCAGCCTCCTGAGTTCTGGGATTATAGGCGTGCGCCACCGTGCCTGGCCAGAGAAGGTTTTCTAGTTGTAGAACCAGTCATCAGAACCTCCAGACAAACCCTTTAGCTAGATACTGGTGTAACTGGATTGTGTCTATGGTGTCAACAGGCCACTGTTTTTCGTACCCCTGAAAGAGTTGGTCACGTTTAATTTATTTCTTGATAAGATCCTTTTGCATATCTATCTATATATCTATCTATCTGTCTATCTGGCTTGTGTTTTGATGAGATAGGAAGTGTTTGAAGGTCAGTATTTTATGTAATTTAAACTTTTATGAGATATCTCAGTATTATTAGTTAGCTTTCCTGTCCCTGGGACAAGATATCTGACAGCCAAAGCGTAAAGGAGAGGTTTAATCCTGGCTGGTGGATTCAGAAGTTTCAGTGGGCCAGCTCCAAGGCAGGAACATTGCGGAGGACGGGCCTTAGTCACTGTCTCATTGCTGAGACACAGTGCCCGCCACGCACAGCTTCGATGGGGGGAGGTTTGCTTTGGCTCGCAGTGTGTGGAGGTTTCAGTTTATAGTCTCAGTGGGCTCCGAGGGAGGGCAGCGTGGCAGAGAGGCCTGGGAGAGAAGAAAGAGCTCCTGGTGTGCAGCAGGAAGCAAAGAGAGATGAGGAAGGTGAGAGACCCTTCCCGGCCATGCCCCCAGTGACTCACCTCCTCTGACCAGGCTGCACGTCCCAGCGTCATATTTAGCTGTGAACTAATCAGTGGGCTAATCCGCTGAGAAGTGTCACAACCCCATGATTCGGTCACCTCCCCAAAGCCTCACCTGTGAGCGCATGTGGCTTTGAGGGGACATCTAGATAGAAGCCAAGGCAGCAAGGGAAAGCTACTGACCTCGTGGTGGCTAGAAGCAGAGAGAGTAGGAAGAGAGCCAGGGTGCAAGACTGAGAGCGAGCAAGCGAGAGAGATGGAGAGAGCAAGAGAGCAAGTGAGGAAGTGAGAGCAAAAGGGAGGAGAGCGAGAGGAAGGAGCCGGGATAAGTCTATGCCCTTAAAAGTCGTGTCCCCCGATTCACCTTCTGCATCCAGCTCTCAATTCCTAGTAGCACATTCAGCCAGGAGCTCATGAATATGAGTATATCACCGTTGCTGAGTATATCACCTCTATGGCACAATCACCATCCAGGAGCCCCACCTCTGAACGCATGACACTTGGGGGACGTATTATATCCCAACCATAACAGTCTGTAACTTCACATTTTATAAAATTTCTACAGTTATGGAAGTACTCCTCAAGACCTAGGTCATAGCCTAAGTGATTTTTTTTCCCCCAGTAAGCAAGATGAGTTTGTGTACATTTTAATCTTTCCTGAAATTTTTTTTGAATTTTTATTAAAGAAATACAATCACATGACTTTTTTTTTTGAGACAGGGTCTCACTATGCAGTTCAGGCTGGTCTTGAGCTCACTTTATAGCCCAGGCTGGTCTTGAACTCGCAATGGTCTGCCTGCCTCAGCCTCCCGAGTCCTGGGAGTACAGGCGTGCACCACCATGCCCGACACAATCACATGACTTTACAAATCCCACAAAACTAAACTCTAGACTTCATTTGGTTTTGTCAGTTTTCCCACTAATAACTTTTTTCTGTCCTGGGACCCAATACTCATTGCATTTATATTTCCTTAGCCTTCTGCCTTCTGTTGGATTGTTCTTCCCATTCTTTATCTTCTCCTTTTTCCCTCATTAACTTAGAGGTTTTATGTTCTGTATCTGTGCTTCTAGAAGTTACTGGTGCACTGTTTCCAAGGGTGTGGAGGGTTTGTCACTTTTACATGCTTTGTGGTATGTGCATGCTTCCTAAGGCGTTACCCTTGAAAGAGGTAATAATGTTTCATTTACTTTGTAAGATCCTTTTGCATACTCATGATTGTTACTTTGATGAAACAGGGTGCTTTGAGGGCTACTATTTTTATGTAACTCAACCTTTTATGAAATTTCTGCCATTGTGTGTGTGTGTATGTATTTTGATCTAGAAGTTCTCATCCCAGGACTGAGTCTAGAGATATATACACTTGTGTACATCTAGTAGATTATTTACCAAGAACAGTTTTTAAATTTTAGTTGTTATCTCTGTAGTGCTGGGGAGCAAATCCAGAGCTTTGAATGTACCAACCTGACAGCATAATTTTTCCAAACCCAACAATGCAGCATGATTTTGTTGTTGTTTGTTTTTGAGACAAGGATCTCACTAGGTAGTTCAGCCTGGCCTTGAACTCACTATGTAGCTCAGGCTCGCCTCAAATTCATGGCAATCCTCCTGCCTCAGCCTCCCAAGTGCTGGGATTATAGGTGCACGCCACCATACTGACCTCTCTATGTGTTTTTTAGAAACTTCAGTCTTTGTCTTGATTTGGAGATCTGATTTTACCCGGGCCACTGTGTGGCAGCCAGAAAATTGTCTCTGATCACTTTTAGGGGGTTGGGCTGGTGTATCCCCAAGACATCAAGGGGTGGGCTGTAAAGCCGTTGGTTCTGTGTTCCCAGAGTGTGGGACTGGATGAAGTCAGCAGAGTGTACAGGGTATCTGCAGCCAGGGCGAGGGCCTGAATTTTGTTTATTTTATTTTATTTTATTTTATTTTATTTTAAAGAGTAAAAGAAGGATAACATAATAATAGGGGGGACTTAGCAAATTACAGACAAAATGGTAGGAAATTATCAATGGTTATTGTTTTACATATTGTTATCTACAAAATAGTTTCTCAGGAAAACAAATAGACAAATAATAGTAAGTTAGAGACAAAAGAGGTAGGAGATTATCAAGAGTTGTTGTACTATACTTTGGTATCTTCAAAGTGGCTTCTAAAGAAAGTAAATAGAGCTATACATGAGTGACCTATTGAAAAATCATTAACTATTCTCAATGGTTGTTGTAGGAAACACATAATAATAAACATACATCCATTTATGAAATAGGATAGGAACATTACAAACTTTACACAGTTATGGATAGATTAGTAGGAAAATATCAATGGCTGCTGTAGTACATGGTGGTATCTTCAAAGTGCTTTCTCAGGAAGACAGAGATATGCAAGAAGGATCTAATAAGTAGTTACAGCCTAAAGGTTGTCAAAAATAGCATATTACCTCCTCACCAGTGACTCCTTTCACTGAGGTATGATGGCTGGAAGGAAGGCCAGGATTGAAAAGAAGGACCGAGAGACTTGCACCTGTGTCTAGCAACAGGCTGTTTTCTTGTTCCTCCATAGTCATGATTACCCAGGACTCCTTGTTGGAGATGACGGTCTGGCCAGAGGGAGAAGGCAGACCATGCCCCAAGCCCTCTCATTCCTGTTGGACTAACTGGTAGCATGGGTCTGAGCTCTGGGGCCTCAACCTCAGAGGGCAGACCAATCTCCAGTGGTCTCCTTTGCATCCAGGGCATGGCCCATGGGGCCTCTTAGGGCAGTTCCTCTTGAGGTGGCCTGGCTTTTAACAGTGGTAGCAGATGAATGCAGTTGTCGAGTTCTTCTTGGGGCCCCGGGAATCAGACCTGGGATCTGTTTCTCTTAGTGGTGCAGCAAAGGCAGCTGCTTTTTCTCGGTCTCAGGGCCTGAATTTTGTATCCTTGCGAACATAGCTAGAAGAGTTTTTTGGCATGAAAGTAGGGACAGCTGGGCTACACTAGCTGACTGGGTGCCCAAGGGCTAACTAGTTTTGGGCTTTAGCCCTGCTATGATTCTGCCTCCTGAAGAATCTTGGACCTCCCAGGCTCCAGTCCCTGTGGAAGAGGAATTGGCTTCTCTTCCGCACTTTCCTTTGCAGACTCCTAGGCAGTGGCTCCCTGTCACTGTTCAGAAAGTCAGTTTTCCCTCTATCTGCTTATCTTTAATATGGGTCAGTGTTTTAGTCCTTGCTATTTCCTTTCCTGCGTTCTTTGTCCTTGGTTTTCTTTTTTAAGAAAGAAATTTGGGGCTGGAGGTGTAGCTAGTAGTAGAGCACTTGGTGAGCATGTTTCAGGGCCTGGATTCCATCCCTAGAACTGCAAAAGAAAAAAAAATTAGTGATATTTTAATGGAATTCCTAGAGAACGAGGAAAGATATTTATATTCTTCCTGCCATCTTTATCCAAGAGTCATGCTGATTAAATTTTACTAGTTGCCTATGATATTGTCATTATTTTTCTTTCCCCCCTTTCTGAGTATGTGTAGTTGATTGGTGTAAGTTAAATGTTTTAATGGTGGGACTGCACTGTGACTCTCTAGGTTAGTGGTTCTCAGCATCGGATGCACCCTGGAATTAATTATGAACTTTTAAAACAATATTGACATCCCGGTCCCATGCCCAGCAAAACTGACTTGGTTAGCCTGAGGTTAGGGTAATGCTGAGCATGGCATTTTATAATACTCCTCCGGTGATTCTTATCCCTGTCAGTCAACATCACTCTAGTTGGAGCCAGCGGTTCCTGATTCCTTTTGGATCTTTTAACAAATGCAGGACCTCAGGGTCTGCCCTAGGAACTCTGAGTCAGAAGCAGAGTTCTAACAAGATTCCTTAAGGAATTCATTCATAATTCATGTTTGAGAAGTACCTACGGGTCTAGACTGGTGGCTGTCCAGCCCAGCTCCATTTCAGAATCACCTGGGAAGTGTTTAAAAATGACAGCCCTCAGGGTGCAGCCCAGGCCAATTCCATCAGAATCATTCTGAGGATGGGACCTAGCACTCCATAGTCACTCAGGTGATGACAATGTGTCACTGTAGTAGAGCGCCCCCAGCCTGGACAGCTTTCTTCCCGTCAAAACCAGGTTTGCTTTCTCCCAGTTAATGCCAAGCTAGAGACTGAAAGTGATGTATTTTCTTTTTCTTATCTTCCTTCTCCTGGTTCTTTTCCTTCTTCATCTTCCAGGTGCTTTACCACTGAGCTATACCCCAGCCCCAAAAGTGAGTCTAAGGTATTGAAATCAAAGCTGTACACCATCATCATCATTGTCGTCACTGTTATCTAGAATATAAAACTAATATAGTGTGGGGGAGGAAAATTTGACCAGGACTCTAGATTGACAACACTCAGCTGTTGGATGGTGAACAGATCACTTCTCCTTGGGCATGAGGTGCCTCATGCATGTAATTAGGTAGCCTAGACTGGGATCCTGGGATTGCTGCTAATGGCTTGAATAGCAACTTTCATGATATTTGTGAACTAGTGCATGTATTTTACTCCCCTGGGGAGTAAGGGCCCTGTAACTGTGTCATGGTTATGATGCCAAGATTAGAGTTGGGTCTGACAGTGACAGTGATGAGAGATTTCCCTGAAATCTGTCTGGGTTGTAGTGAGACACATGGCTGGGGTCCAGGGAAGAGATCAGACGGTATGAGCCTGAAAGCTGCTAGCCACAACGTGAGAAGAAGCAGTGAGCAGACCTGTCCTTGTGCCTTGGGAATTCTATATAATTGTTCATGTTCAGGGGCCACGTCCAGGGGCCATGTGAGCTCATAGAGGTCTTTCTTGTTTCCCTGGCAGGCCTGGAAGTTGAAGAAACCACTGTGTATTCACGGATGATCCAGGCAGCCGTGCAGCAGAGAGACACCTGCCTAACCATCACCCCAACAGTGCTGGGGGAGAGGCACCTGCCAGACCAGTTGGCCTCGGTGACCAGAATCTCCTCCTCTGACCTCTCCCTGGGACACGTGTCTCGGGCCCTGTGCAGGGGCATTGTTCAGAACTTGCACTCCATGCTTCCATTTCAGCAGCTCAGAGAGTGGGGCGTGGAGCGCGTGATGGGGAGTGGGAGTGCGCTGTCCAGGAATGAGGTGCTGAAGCAGGAGGTGCAAAGAGCCTTCCCTTTGCCGGTGTCCTTTGGGCAAGATGTGGATGCAGCTGTTGGGGCGGCTCTCATCATGCTCAGGAGGAACCTCAACCAGATGAACTCCTAGTCAACAAACTGTAGTCTCTTTGTAACTATCATTTTACAAGTTCTGTGATTGCTGGAAGCCCTTAGATTAGTGATGGTGACCATTTTAGAGCTTTCAGTGATAATGAACGGCCCGCTGCGGCACACGTGCCAGGGATTCACCACAACTGGCTTAAATGAGTTTGCCTTGTGGTGCTTGTTGCATTTCAGATATTAAATAAAGCTCATTCTTTCAGAGCCTTGACCATTTCATGTTGCAGCCCCTGAGGAAGGCCTGGAGAGGGAAGGGAAGGCTGAGGGATTGGGGTAGCCCTGCCTATTGGAGCAGCCTCCCCTCCTCCCCGACAGCAGGCAGCCCATCTTGCCTGCTCAGGGTGCTATGGATGGAGTGTGTAAGTATAAGGTTAGGAACCAGAGGGGAGAACTGCAAAGCCAGGCAGCACAGCCCTGTGACCAGCATGGTGCGGCATTCTCTGTCCTCTTCCTAGACCAGGTGCCTACTCTGCTGTTGAGGGCTGAGCCTTGCAGAGTCTAAGCTTGTCAGTGAAAGGCCCTGCTGCAGCTTCCATTGCATGTGGCCTGGGTCTTCTGTGTGGGTGGAGGATTATGCACAGCTGCCAAGGCCTCATTTCCCCAGCCTGAAGTCATGAACTACTTACTGCTTCTTTCCTCATTTTTCAGTTTGAGACAGGATATCACTATATAATTCAGGCTGGCCTTGAACTCACTATGTAGCCTAAGTTGGCCTTGAACTTGTGGTGATCCTCCTGCTTCAGCCTCCTGAGTACTGGGAATACACGCATGCACCACAAAGCTCAGCTTCTTTCCTTATTCTTGGGAGGTGCCAGTAAGTGTTTGAGGCCATCCACTTGCTCTTCAGATGATGAACTAGGCAACAGTGCTAGCATTCGGGCTGCATGCCCAATATCCTCGCCTTATCAGCCCATGGTAGAGATGTACTTTCCCACCCAAATTGAAATGTGAATAGAAGCTTGTCATTTCTGGGCAGAAGTCTTTAGGAGCCAGCATACTATTTGCCACAAGTGACTGGTGGTGTTTCAGAGGGCACAGACTCTGCCATCTTGGGTTCCTGAGTGCGGACAATGTGGTGCTGAGCCCTCACCAAGCAATGAGGGACACAGAGTGTAAGTGATAAGTAAACTTTTGATGTTTGAAGTCAATGAACTTTGGGGGATATTTGTTACCACAGTGTTATGGTTTGGGGGTATTTTTGCAAGGGGAACAATATAATACAAGACTCATATTTTATATGATTATTTCTAATAATCACCCAAAGAATCATATACAAGAGAGTTCAGGAAATCTGTCCACACACTATAGACCGAGAAATCTAGCTGAAGGCCTGGATCACATGGAAATGTCCTGCATGAGTCCAGCTGAAGACCTGGAGCCCATAACAATGCCTCCTACAAGTCCAACTGGAGGCCCAGAGCCCATAACAATGTCTCATGCAGGCCTGTTTCACGGATCTGTGCTGCGAAGGCCCAAAGGACAGTGGTGGAATCTAGGAAGTCCGTGCCAGCAGGATGAAGGATCTGTGCTAGCAGGCTGAGGGATCTGCACTGGAGCCAGGAAGTGACGTGCAAAGTAAAAACCAGAGCTCCTCCGAAAAGTACCACAGCCATCCTCAGCAACAGTGAGATCTCGAGCTCCTCCAATGATCAAGATGGCTGAGTTCGCGAGAGGAAAGCCAATGCAGCAAGCTTCTCCAGGAGACTGGCAGTGCACCATCTTCCCCTCCGGAGCCAGGAAGTCATTCTCAGAGTGAGGACCAGAGCTCCCCCAAAGTGATCCAAAGCCATTTTCAGTACCAATGAGGTTCCAAGCCCCTTGAAGGATGAAAACAGCCAAGTTCATGAGGAAAGCCAGCGTGATGAGCTCCTCCAAAACAACCAACAGCTCCTTACAGCTTCTACCAGCTCCCACGAGCCTCTCTCAGCTCCCAACAGCCTAACTTCTTCTTCTTCAGTTCTGCTTCTTATGCTGCTGGCAACAGTCCCCAGGTGGGCCTCCCACACCCAGCACCATGCTTACTCAGTTCAGCTGGGGTTTATGAGTTGACCACCAGTTATCAATCCACGACACACAGCATACCTGAATTCATTCTGCTACAGCCACAGTGGAGACTGTGTACAAAGTCTCCTATATCCCCAGCACAGACCACCTTAGTAACTTAGGAAGCATCTAGTGGAAGATGGGTGTCCTGCCCGGGATCATCATGTGTGTCTGCATTTCCATCAGTAGGGGCTGAAATAAACACTGTGACTGTTATGCACATACTCTCAGGGGACCAATTCATTTTCCATACAAATGACATCCAGCTAAACGCTGTAGGGTTTCAATCCATTGCTACTAAAAACAGTTAACATGTTTTGAGTACCTGCTGTGACCTGAGAACTGATATAAATTGCTCATTGAAGTTAATTTGATCTTTACAAAAGGTGGATATTATTATCACCACTTCACAAATGGAGAAATTGTCACACCAGAAGTTAAGTAACTTATAGTGAGATCACAGTGCTAGGAATGCTTGAGCATTCTAGGGAGAGGAGTTAGGCTAGGTGTTTATGTTAAGGATGTTGGCATGCTCAGGGTATGACAAACTATCTGGGGTAACTTGATCACAGAGTAAATAAAAATGTTGTTAGGTAGTCCCTTTACCCATGGCTCACTAGGCTGAACATGGTGGCATATGCCTGTAATCCCAGCCCTCAGGAGGCTGAGGCAGGAGGATCTCCATGAGTTTGAGGCAAGCCTGGGCTACATAGTAGGTTCAAGACCAGTTTGAGCTATGTCACGAGACCTTATCTCAAAAATAAAACAACAAGAAATGGCTTACCAAGCAAAAGTATTCCAGGTCCTTCTCTTCTTGAACAAAGAATTGGACAAGCCAAGCCAATAACAGGGCTAAAAGTTTATTTGGAAATGAGGGGTGAAGGGGTAAGGGAAGAAATAGCTCTGCAGAGCAAACTCAGGTCAAACAGAGAGAAAGGATACAAAGTAACAAAAGTACATCCTGCACCATGAGGAGTGGAGTAGGTCCCAAGAGGAGTCACCATAAACGGCTTCTGTGGCATCTCGTCTCTTTTATGGTGTCCACATCTGGCAGGAGCTCACTAGAAGTTCTACACAGAGATCCTAGGAGTTATTTGGCAGGGCTCTGGGATCTTGAAATTGACTGATCCTGCCTACTTCTTCCTGCCCTGCAGTCCTATAATTTACAGGTCCTGCTTATTTCCCCAGCCAGTTCCCAGGCCCCAGGATGTCATAGGAGTCGTGGATAGGAGTGTTGGCCAGACAGTGCGGGGTCTTGGATGCCAGGTGAAGAGGTTAGGACTTCTCCTGAAGTCAGTATCTGGAGGGCGGGGGCTTCCTGGGCTAGGAGTACAGCTGACCACGGAGATGCTGGATCGGAGGGTGGGTGCCACAGAAGGTAGGAGCCCCAGAGAAGAGGCTATAAGGTGGCCCGGAGGGAGATAGGCAACCCGGCCCCTACACAAAGCAGAGGCATGGACTCCAGCCACTCAGGCATTCTCTCCTCCCTCTGCTGTACCCTTGCCTTTGGCCTTTGCCTGCATCCACATGTTTCTATGGCTCCATCATTCTCTTCTTTTCAAGTGGACTGAGAAATCCTTGAGGTCAAGGCACCTCACTAGGTGTTGTCTTTCCTGTCCTTTAACTTAGGTCCACGGCCAGAACATCATCATTGTATGGCGGATCCTGCCCCTGGTCCACAGCCCCGCTTGATTGCTGTCTGCCTGTTGCCCAGAGTCTTTCTGGCGCCATGACTGCCATTAGAGTAAAACTGAAACTGGAAGCCAGGACCTTGCTTAAAGGTGTTTGTTGGCTTGGGGCCCCTGGCTTGTGCCTGGCAATGTTTCTCACCCTGCCTGGTGTCAGTGAACTTGTGCAGTGCTTCTCTTCTCATCCATCACGGGCTCCGTGAGGGCTGAGGCCGTGGTATTCATCTGATCACACCACTGTGTGACCTGTAAAGCACATGGCCAGGCCTAAGGGAAGAGGGTCCCACCTGACTTCTTGTCTCAGCCACGAGTAGATGGCCAAGCTGTCTTTGACACTGAGATAGTCTCATTATAGAAATGCTCGCTTGCCTGACTCATGAAACATTAAGCAAATCTTGTTGTTTTTTCATTAAAACACAATTAGTCACAACCACTAGCTAATGGCCGGATACAACTCAGCAGTCCGTAGACGTGGTTCTGAGAACAATAATCCCTCCTGTCTGCCTGGGGATATGCAAGCTTCCAGAGCCCATTCCCAGCTAGGATTCTTTATCCCCCCCGAAGTCTTGCAAAGCAGGAAGGGCCTGAGTGGATAAAGAGGCAGCCCCATAGTAGTAGCTGCCAGCCTGAGTTCATACAGCAGGCGCCTGGCACAGCTGCGCCTCTTCAATGCACATCCACCCTCTGCTTGCGCCCCCACCCTCCAGCTGTTTTCCTCCCGCGGCTCCTGGCCCCTGTCCTGTAGAGCAGGGCTGGACTTCTATGGTTAGTGAACATTTGATCCTACCGGCTCAGATGGCCAGCTCCATCCACTTCTGGAGGATGTGCTGCTGCCTCACAAACCCCTGTGCTCTGCTGGACTTGGTCTTTTAGACTCTTGTGGGCACTTGTGACATTAATCCACAGGCCAAAGCAGAAAGAAAAGCAGTTCCCTTCCAGGTTTGCTCTTTGTCATATGGATCCAGGAACCCTGCAGCCATTTAAAAGTAAAACAGAAATGTCAAGAAAGTTAAATTTCAATACAAGATTTAGTAAGCTCAAGACAAATGAGTAGAGCTACCACTGTCCTTGGGCAGGTTACAGGTAGCTGCCAGCGTCCACGGCTTCCTGGGGCTGGGACTACCACCCCTCATTCCTACCTGCCTCCTCCCAGATTCTGAGCAGATGGTTCTAATTTTGCTAATTAGGTAATTTTGATTTTGCTAATTTGCTAAATCTAATTTTGCTAATTAGGTTTTTTCAGCACGTAGGCATTTTCTGGTTTCTAGCTGTACTAAAGTCTGGCCTCAAGTCTGAGAGGAACTCAGACGCAGAAAAGCTTCTGGCTTGGGTCAAGAGCTCAGTTTCAGTCAATGTGCCCCCTGGTGGTAGCACTAAGAGAGAAAAACCGCTGCTATTAGCAGAGTTAGTGACTTTTGGCATCTGCCCCGTTTGATTCGGCCCAACTACCCGTTGGTCCCTCCTCTAGCTGCT